TTGGCAATAAGGTCGCACACTCATTAAAATATTCACAATCATTATAACAGTAATTTGTTCTTTCAACACATTTAGTATTGGTTTTTTCATAACTCCTTCTGTGCACTTAGCAGCTTCTGTTGGCGAGTACAGTGATGAAGGAAAACAATTAGTCATTCCACGGTTTGTTTAAATGTCTTTTTTTTCAAATATTTGCACTTTAATGTCACTGTTCTTAAAAAAAAAGCTCTTAACATGGAATATAACACATTCTTGTAACTCAGATGGGGTTCAGAGACAAAAAAATAATAATTGGAATATAATTCTAACATGAGGTGTTTCTTGTTTCTTCTATAGCGATGCGTCAACGAGACACTTGTTAATAGAGGTCTAACCTGTTCCTGACAAAAGGTAAAATGAGGATGGATGGGTTATTTACTTGCAAGCACCAAAGAGATGGTACTTAACACTTCATTTGACATGGCAGGGTACTCTGCTGCACCACCTTGCCATTAGTTGGTACAGTTAATGATAAGGAAGTGCCTCAACAATGCCTCCTTAATTATTGTTGGTACTGTAACTGTGAGTCATTTCACAGCAAGCCACCCACTCCATACCAAGATGATTTAATGTTAATAAGCATGGCTGTGATGGAACAAACACTTTAAAGGGTGATAGTATGTGGGAGAAAGATGCCTGTGGAGCATCTGTTCAGGGCTGGGGAGTAGCTTTGTGAGAAGGAGGTATGAGAAAAGGTGATATCTGTAGTGCTAATGTGCAGCACACAGTGACAGTACTGTGTGCCTGACAACAATTTAATTCTGAACTTTTAAGACTATTTTTACTGTTTTTTATTAGAAAAAAAAGCAATGTTCAAATTATTCTGTTGTTCAGTTTATGCAATTTCAGTTCTACTGCTGTATAGCAAATTAATTGTAATAATTATAAAGACTTGTTTAAATATGAACAAATGTATACTCACTGGTCATTTTATTAGGTTCATTTTGCTAAATGCCAGTTTGAACCGCCTTTTTGGCTTTCAGCAGAGCCGTAATACTTCGTGGCATAGATTCAATAACATTGTCGAAATACTCCTCAGATACTTTGGTCCATTTTGACCTGGTAGCTTGAAATAGTTGCGAAAATTTTTCATCTGCAGATCCACAGTATGAGTCATCTGCGACACCACATCACAAAGGTGCTCTATTTAAATTAACTGGAGTGCAGTGAACTGACTGGCGTGTTCAAGAAATCCGCTTGAGATAAATCAAGCTTTGTGATAAGGGGCGTTGCATTGCCAGAGGTAGCAATCAGAAAGTGGATACACTGTGGTCATCAAGGGATATACATGGTCAGCTTCATAACTCGGGTAGGCAGTGGTGTTTAATCAATGTGCACATCGTACGAAGAAGCTCAAAATATACAAACAAATCATTCCCCATCACATAGCATTGTACCACCACCTATATCTGATTCAGGCAGGATGTTTCCATGCTTTTGTTTCGCTAAGACTACATTCTGATCCTACAATCTGAATTTTACATTTGAAGTAAAGACTTTTCAAAGTCGCAATCTACATTGTGTTTTATTTATGTGGGATCTCAAAGATTTGACTTCATTGGATCTTATTATCATTTTGACCTCCAAGTATGAATAAAGCACACTATTAGTTAACATCCTTTATGTTCAGCTGACCCTAAAATAACAACCTCATCCAATAAACAATCCTGTAGCTTTATTTCTTCACTCACATTCACTAATGTTTAATTGATTGCTACAAAAAAAAAGAACCCAGCTCTCTCTAAAGCCATTGAAGTACGGTTACATTTTTAAAAATGTATGTCATAAGCCACAAAACCTTAGGAGCGAGGAGCACAATGGAGATATTCCTACTGACTATTTCTTTAGGTTGCACATAGCAGTACGGTGACAATTTTTTATATAATTTCAAAAATGATACAGCATTTTCAGGAGAGGCTTTATACCACATCTCATCTCACCGCTGCCTGTAAAATGTTCTTAAATACAGAAACAGAATGATGATTCACCTCTTCGCCACATTGTGTGGCTTTTTGCAGGCTCAGTAGACAGCATTATTCCCAGACACTGGAATGTCCATCTTTATATAACTTCATGCTGTGAAATCTCTGATTGCATTATAGAAGTCTTGCAGTCTGACAGACAGATGGATCTGAAACAAGCAAACCAACAAATCTGCCTTTTAAATCAACCTACAGTTTTTTATACCACCATTGTTCACAGTGTTCCAATTTGTGAAATGCTGAGTTTTTATTCATAAAATATTGGCTAGAAATATGTCATTACTTTTCACTGTCTGAAAATGAATTGGATTATTAGATTGCATATTAATGCTAATATCTATCTGGTATTTCACAAACTGACGCAGCACAAATTTATATGGCAAATGAAGATGCTCTCTAGTTGGAATAGGACAAACAAAACAAAGGCTTTATAGGCTTTAGGATTAAGGGGCTTTCATATTTGAATGTGAGAATGAAATATGTCTGCTTGAGAAAAAAAAAACACTAAAGATTAGGAATAATCACACAGAAGAGATAATTTTAATCTTAATGCTTTGAATGTTCTCACACGGTTTGGCTAATAGATGAGCATTTCATTGAAAGACTAAAATATCTGATTCTTTACGGTAATTAATGTGGTTCTGCCTCTCACTTTTGGTAACATTATAAAGCTATTGTATCTAACTTTCCCCTGGCATCTGAGTTTGTTTGTTTTTTCCATTTTTTACAATTCTTTACCTTTTCCCTGGAAGAGTTCTGAACAATTTTGAAGATTTGTATCGAGCAGATAAAACGTTTTTCTTTGTTGTCTAACAACAGTGGTTATTGGTGGTCATGACAGTGATGTGCACAATTTGGTTTTTAGCCATTTAGTTATAGGGAAGCCTATTCTTTTTGCTAAAAAGACATTTGGGTTTTGGTGTGGGGAAAATTTTGCTTCCACTGCTTTGAAACAAAGTTTAACTGCTACAGTGGCTTGAGCAGCCCTAAGCTGGCCACATCTGATTGCTTCACTCTAGTGTGCACCTTGAGTGTGATGCACAGCCTCCCTTTGTTTCTGGACTGTATTCAATGCTCCCAAGACTAGACTTTTAAACTTTGGTAATTTAGTCTACTTGTAATATGTTTGATTATGAAATGAAAGTTTTTTTCTGACAATATTAAATCAAGAGAGGTGCTCTTATCCACAAGAGATAAACCTTGTGATGCAGCATATGCTGGGTGATTTCACACATCTATGTTGAACACCAGCCAAGTGTTTTGTGTGCCTAGTGTTCTTTGCTTCTTGTGATTCACTACATCAACACTTGGAGAGAAAGAGAAAGAAAAAATAAACACCTTCATGTTCTGCTTCTTTATCTTCTCTGCATGTGTATTTATGTGTGGGTGTGAAGCGTTGTCTGTGCTTGGAGGCATATGTTTTATTTTCCTCTTATTTATTTATTTATTTTATTCACTTATTCATTTGCTAGTGTGTAATTATGTGTGTATACGAAACGTGTCTAAGAATTTTCAAGTTTCTGCCTTGACCCCATGGTACATGAGGAGGGAGAAAAACCGCAGGAAAAAAACGACATGAAGCGAAACATGGAACGGCTTGGTTGGGGATTATGCTGGCCCGAATGCATGAGGAAACACCGAGGGGCGCTTCTGCTGCCAGACACATGAGAGGCTGACAAAGTGCTCGGGCTTTGTGTGACTTTGGTTTAGACTTTCACTCACATTCAAAGCAGTGTGAATGGCTGTGGTCCACAATTACATTTGGTTTGTTTAATACATGGAGTCACCGTTTCCTTTTTTGGTGTGGCAGAACGTCAGCTGGATATAGGCACCCTCCCGACTCCACTAGGGACAAGGGTGTTAGAAAATAGATGGATGGGTATGAAGGAGCTTGATTTGAAGAAGCAGATTTAGACTAAGTAGAGGTCCTGACTGATATGTCATCACAGCCTTTCTGCTGAAACTGAATTCTTGAAAGGTCCAAGTTGTGGCTTTGTTTTGTTTTCAATTTTTGGAAACAAAATTCTGAAATAATATCAATTTCAAACATGGAAAATGTAATAAATACAGATAGGAAAGAGGCAGAGAGAAGAGAGAAGAAATAATCACTCCATGCTGCCTTTCCTCATGGCTGGAAATCGCTCCAACTGCCTTAATGTTTGCTTTATGTCCCATGCAGTCTTAAGCCCTCTATATGCTAATATCTATTTGGTATTCAGTTTAATTAAGCAGGCATTGGTAAGCTGTGTTATTGTCAGTGCATTATAAATGCTAAAGTTATGCATATTTTGTTCTACAGAGCAGCAAATCCTGTACATTCAGCGCCTGTTTGTTCATCCATTCATCCATCTATTGGTTTACATTTCTTATCACCTCCTATAAAACATGCCATCTTTCTAATATCCCTGCATCTAATGCCCTTAGCTTAGTTCCCCTGTATCAGCTTGCAGGCACAGTTTTTGGAGTAATTTCATGGGTTATGATGGAGATTGAAGATTTTGTTAATGATGGTAGACAGGCCAAATCTCAGCTGTGGAACTGGACCAGAGCCTCAAATCTCAGGATGGAGCAAACAAGTGTGAATGCCACAGGGGCTAATCCGACAGCGGTTCTCAGTGATGAATGCTTATTAGTCAAATGCAAATGACCAGGACTGGGAATCTAAATGAGGGGGTGGGAGTTTGTAGGGCCTGACTCAGTGCCAGGTTATGATTTAGAGTAACTTCGTGTTGCTTTAGTAAATGTGTTGCTTTGCTGATGCAGCATCCTACAGATGGCAGCTAGGTCTGGTTTTGCATATGTTATGCTCATGGGAATTGCATGCTAAATGTGCATATGGCTTTGCAGTATACGGTTAATAGTGTAGCCAGATCAGCAGTGTTGCATACAAAGCACTGTCCTGAATACTGTGACACAGTTGTAATAAAGCTAACATATTTTTTCATCTTCCTCTCTTTTCCTTTTTTCTCTATACAGCAGCAGATGGTGAGGAACCAACTTCTCCAGGTAGGGAAGTTTTTTCAATTATTTTGTAACATAGCCTCTGTCACTTACTCGCTTTCTGTTTATTTATGTATTTGGGCTTCTTTGTGTGTTTGCTTATATGCCATGTTAAGGTTGACAGAAAAAAAGAAGAAACAAAAACTCCTAATCTACCGCTGGGGAGATGGGGAGTGAAAATGAGAGATGATAATGTTTTTCAGATGTTCATGCACCTCTTGTTCACTTGAGCATTTAAAAAAAAACATCCACGATCCATGTGGAGATTGTAGACATAGCATTTCAGAAACTAAGTCCCGATGAACTTTTTTGCACATGTCCAGTGTTGCTTGCTCTGCTGGACACTGCAACAGTCAATGAGTAATTTTCACAAGTCGTTTGTTTCGCTTTGATAACTATGTGAGATGTGTGCCCCAGAGAAAATTGAAAATATTTGGACTTATCAAACCAGAGCTTGATTATTATTATTATTATTATTGATCATTTACTTCAGTCTGGGTACAAAGCGGGTGCTTTGTGTTTTAAGTCAGCACCCCAGTAATGTTCAAGTACAGCATGTAAATAAGAGATGCTGCTCTAATTTTAATGATATAACATACATGTGTGAATATTTTTCTATGAAAGCATAACCACAGCAAATTAAAATAAACAAAAAAAAAGTTTTTAGCTTCAACATTGATACGATTAAAATGTAAATGCAAGAAAAAAGCAAACATACTAACTGCATCTTCAGCATCTGTTTGTCTTTGGCTGCAAGTTTCATTAAACTTAATCCCTGCTGCGCACTTGAGATTAGGTTGGTTAAATCAAGAGGGATTCGACATAATACCCATGGAATCAAAATAGCTTGTTTTTCTGTTGCAAAAACATGTGTAATCTGTGATTCTAATCACTTAAGGAATGTAAGAGAACAAAATTAAACAACTGAACCATTGTGGGAAATTATCAGTTAAAACACCTGATATTAGTTATTTTGTCATTATTTAACATGATCATACATATTAACACGAAACCTCTGTTGTGACCTCAGTCACAACCCAAGAATTATATTAAATAAAACTTCTTTTTCAACACCAAATATATCTATAACATTGAATTATTATTGCAGTTATGTTTTGCCACTGAGCAGACAAAAGCTCCACATGTATCTAAAAAACAATAAAAGAAAAACCAGTGGTGGTTTTAATTTTCTACCCACTGACCTGGAACTCAACTGCAGGAGAAAATAGGGCAGATTGACATGAAAGGCCAAATTATTGTTGATGGTTTTGAGGAATTAAGCAAATCAGGACCTCTTCCAAGACCATTATATTTGTAATCTGCATAATCAGATCCTTTGATTGCACACATCAATCTTATTTCAGGACATGAGGGGTGTTCTCTGTATTTTCTGTTAGCCAAAACTCCAACTCAAAATTGGACTTTTTTATTATTAAGGAGACCCTTGGGGGTGAGCTGGGTATGGCTTTGACATTTCCATGGCATTTTCCTACTCTTGCTTTCCTCTCGATCCTCCTCGATTGCCGGATGATCCCCAGCATGACCCCTCTTTTCGGATTTTTTTTTTTTGGCATATTCCAAACAATTTAGTTTCTGCAAAATTCTTACCACCGTCACCTCTGAGTGTTTTTTGTTTGACGCTGTGAAATGCTGATAGGTTAAAATGGTAGATTGGGAAAGGAGCCTGTGAATGGGAGGCCAGGAACTCTCTAAAAGCATAGGCGTGGGGTGGCACATGCTGAGAGCCTTGATGTAATATTGGTGGTACGGTGCCAACTTTCATCAGAGGAGGTGCAGGATGGGTGCATTCACCAGGAAACCTGTGAACCAATGAAGCCATCATAGGAAAAAGAAGCTGGGTTAAAATAGATTTGACACAATTAGGCCATGATAGATTTCTATGTGATGTTGATGAGTGCACAGTCAGATCAGAGGATCTTACATACAAATTTCACACTCATGAGACAGGTGAAATCTGTGTGTGTGAGAGAGAGACTCAGTGTCTGTGTGTGTGAATAAAGATTTTATGAAAGGCTTACAAGGTTTTTGATAGGCTGGCTTACCACTATTAACTCAGCACTTTGTAAGATGGGGGAAAAAATCTAGTTAAATCCGGAGCAGAGTTTCATTTTCAGTTATGCTTTCAGTGAGACTCTTCAGTTCTGGCTGCTAAATCTTGTTGAAATAACACATTTAAAATCTAGAGTAAAGTATTATTCAGGGCAGCTCTGTTCTGAATGATATTTACTCCTCTTGGTTAGGATTAAGACTTATTTTCAAGTGCTTTTCCTCTGTGAAATTCAATATCACCTGTCCTTCTTAGAGAATAAAACCAGCCAATAGCACACGTGGGTCTTAATACATTAGAATATTACTAAACAATTTATGTATTGCTGCAATTTATTTTAAAATGTGATGGTCTCATATATTTATTAGCTTTATCAAACACATTTATACACTTCACACATTTTTGTCTATTCAGTTTGAGGACTATGGTTTACATCTATTGTAATTTTACCATTATGTATATGATGTAAAATCTTAATATTATTTAACAATCATTACTTCAAAGTATGGTAATGATGCAATGTAGTCAACTTTAGTGAAGATGGATAAATAGGCAGAAATTCAGTGAGCCTAAAGGTCTCTATCCATAGTGTGTTTTCTCTTAGTCTGTACATGTAAAGTTGAGTAAAAGGAAAAAATGTGGAAGAAACACACATTATTTACTGCCCACCCAGCGCCAACAATACAGATGGGCAGTAAATAATGCAAAAGTACTCATGTGTTTATCTTATACAGAGCATGCACACTGATCATATTAGCAGTCATGTGATCTTACTTAATATTAATATTATCTGACAAATTGTTTTTGGAGCCTTTGTATGCCACCTGCTAGTCTGTCCTATTTTTCATTTTTTATTTTTTTGTAGCCACAGAAGACTCTGTAATTCTGTTTTCTCCCTAAGAACACCAGCAGTTTTTGTACAGTCAGATTTACAGCAAAATGTTTGTGACAGCGTTCATATAAAGCTACACATGCGGCCTTGACCTTGAAAAAGTTAAGTCCTCCTGATTGATCCTCAAAGGAAGCAGATGATGCTCTCCCATGTTTAACCATTGGTCAGGTTTTTGCAGCTGATTGATTGGCCTTTGTTTTGCAGCCAGAAAAGAAATCACAAAGCCAGCGCTGGAAAAGACACAGGATCCCATCAATCTTTGAGCGAGCATTGGTGTATATATGACAGCAGCAGCTGACATTCACACTAGAAAGCCTCTAATAGTTCCTCTGGACATGCACCTCACATTCATTCATCATACAACATCCAGGAGCGGAGGGAGCATCCATTCACAACATGCAATATACGTTTCCAGCATTCCAGTTTTGCCAATATTGACTTTTAATGTTTGTGGATCATTGATATTGAGGAAGGATATCAAAATATTCTACATAGTTAGGTGTTTACATTTTCTGGAGACAAATATTTGTGTCTGCTGTCTGAGACCTTCTTCACAAGTTCAAAATTCAGATGTGCAGCACTTGTATTCCAAGTTTGCATGTTTCCCCATGCATGTGTGGGCTTTACACATCTTTATTCTATTAATCTTTAAATTGTCCTGTGGCTCTCTCACTAATTCACGCTGGGAGTGCACTCGCACAACTCGTTGTTTTAAGGCAACATGACCGATCTCTTCACCTGTTCGTGCACATTGGCCTTTCGTAACAGTTTGCACTCAGTGTGAGTGGCACTTGCCAAACAGAGCTGTAAGGTAGTGACTGAAAGCATGTCCATTTTTACAGGCTTTAAGCATGATTTAATGGAACGCTTAATCACACAATGTTTGACAATGGGCAAAACCTTTGAGTTAGAGTTGTGTCCAGAATGCACTTCCTCTTCAAACTCTTCTTCTGCTACTATTGATTTTAGGGGGCTTTTATTAGCAGTTCAGAATAACTTATCTGAACTGCTAATAGCTTCAGTTTGTTTCATCCTGGTTTTCCCTCACTCACTTTTAGTTACAGCTAAGCTCTGCAGGAAGAATAATAACTATTATGGTAGAGGCTAATGGGGATCCTTATATAAATCCTTAAATAAACAAATATTCATACCCCTTCAAACTTAGTCTCAGAAAATCTTCATTCAACCAAGAAGTTTGTTTCTGACAGGTATTTAAAAAAGACATATCTTAAACGATAATAATAAAATAAAAAGATTGCATTTTAAATAATGTTTTTATAAACATTCAGCAAAAAATATTGCATCTTAAAAGATATGTATGCCTTTTTCCACAATAACAAAAGACAATACTTATTGCTAATAGAGCAGCAAAAAATTTCTGTAAATGCTGGCAAAGTTTCTTTGCATATTTTCTCTGTATAATTTGACAATTTATGCTTGTGATGAGCTTTAAATCTTTGAGGTTGGAAAGCCTCTTTACCTCCACCCTCATCTTCACCCCCCTCCATGTTTTTATTTTTTTATTTATCTTTAAATCAAATTTAAGTCAGTGCCTTGGTTGGGCTGCTCCAAAACATTGCCTCCAGTTAGATAAAACTTAGTATAAGTGAATTATTATGTTATAGCTACAGTGGAGAAAAATCAATATGCCTGGCATTGATGCCTATTTTTCATGCATTTTTCAACCAAAACTGTACACTTTTTCAAATTGACGTACAGCTTCCATGGCTCAGCAGATGGCAGTTCAGACCGCTCCAAGTTTTTGTGATACTGTCAAATTTTGCACTTGTGGCTTTTAAATTGTCACACTAACTTAAGAGAGCACTGCAGTCTCACCCCTGGGACGTTTTGTTGTTTATCACTTCGAATGAAATAACAGCCTTGTCAAAGCATTTATTTATTTATTTTTTTTACCACTAACATATGCCTTTTCAAAAGCAGAGCTGAAAAGGCACAAAAAGAAGGAAACTTCAGAAAAAACATGCAGTGGGGAGAAAAGAAATACTGACTTGTTTTGATTTTTATGTCAACACATATTTTACCAGCTTTGAATTAAATATTGGACACCATCTGAACCCATATAAATTTCCTTTTTTATATTTAGATGTATTTGTTGCTAGCATTCAGAGATGGACTTTAGAAGCTTTTCTAGTCTTAGTTATGAAGCAAATAACTCAGACCATGTCACCATGATGTGCCTAATTGTATATTTGGTTGTTTGTTGATAAAAATATCTATTTAATGTAATTTTGAGGAGAGGAGAATAAAAAAAAAAAACTCGTAAGTGGGAAAGTGTTCAGATATTCCTTTTTTTTTCTGATTTGCTATGCACTCACGGCCCTGCTATTGTTCCCTGCAACTGAATAATAAAACAAAAACAATGGTTGTGATGAATGGGCCAATGTGTACACAACCAGTATGCATATACCTAATTACCATGAACATGAATTCCCATGCAAATTAGGGATCACAACAGCTTTTTTGTATGCCAAGCTGTACTGACCAGGGACTTGGGCAGGTAAAACATAAACAGCCACTTCTTTTCTGCAGGCAGGCTGGAATTGTGTAGCTTTAATGTATTATTTATTTTTTGTTTGTTTGTAACTTTAGTTTAATTAGGAAGAGAATGTTAAAAAATAAAATCAAACTTATATGATAAAAACAAAAATCTCTTTTACATGATTTTCCTGGGCAATACAGGAACAAAACAAGACAAGATCATTTCACCCAGTTTAGGATTCAGTTAAGTAATAAAAATCAACCTTTTTATCAAACTAAAGTGCCAATAGAGCAATGAATGGGCCATTGATACACCTGGGGGCAGTTGTTCACTTTCAGCAGGATAACAACCCTGAACATACAGTTAGAACTACAATGTGAATCCAGTCAAAATCCAGACCTAAACTCAATTGAGAATCTGTGCCAAGACTTGGACATTGATGTTCCCAGACACTCTTACCTACCCGGTTAATTTTTCAAGCTTCAAACTTACAATATTAATGCCATAGGTGTAGAAAACTGGTAGAGACGTGCATTAACCACTCTGTAATTGTAAATGGAGCAAAAGATGATTTCACTATGTGTTGACTAGGAACTGAAGGCATTTCACATATTGTTAAAAAACAGAAAACCATGGGTTTCTTTCCTTCCACTGCATGATTGCAGTCATCATAGTCCATTACATCACATCTGTAAAATTGTAGGTCTGCGGTAGTAATGTGAAGGAGTTCAAGGAATGTGAATACTTTTATAAAGCACTGTATGGTATCAAAGATTTGTTGTTGTTGTTGTATTTCTAATGAATGTTAAGACAAGGACTAAGCATCCTGACATAAGATATTTCCATAGTCATTCAAATGTTTGAAAGGTTAATCTCATTGTAAATGTTCATGTTTAAATATGTTATTAAGTTTTAACTGAAATGGCTAAAACTATTTTGGCAGCAACGGCGCCCTTCTTCCAGAAAGATGCTACAGGCTTGGCACAGCCAGACTTTGAAGTTTTCTTCTCTTTTCTCTTTTTTATTGAAGAAAGATTTTTTTTTTGATCTGAAGCATCAGCACATTTTCATTTTCAGGTCCTTCTGGGACTGCTTTACAGCACTATGATCCTAACTGGGTCATTCCAGGACTTTTACAGACTCTTCCTGAAACTACTCCTGTGTTCTTTTGCCAGATGTTTTAAGGAACTCTCAAAAGGTTTTCCATCAACTTTTTCCCCCTACATATTTCTACCTATCCCCTTTTATCCCAGTTCAATTAAATAATGTACAATAAATTAGGTAAAAAATTTACCTAATTTACCTAACATCATCACTTAATATTATGCGATGATATTAGTGGGTTGCTATAAAGCTCCTTATTTTTTAAACCACAAATGGTTGGGAAGTGTGTACAACTAGTGGTACATTTTCTTCGTTTGCAAAGAGAGTTTTGCTTTTTGTGATCTGATGTTCTCAGAAGAGCCTTTTGGCACCTGAGTGGCTTTGTGGATTTTATTTATTGAAGGGAAATAGCTTCTGTCTTGCAGATAAGTGCAATAAAGGCCGTATTGCAATTGGCTGCCGATATAAATCTAATCAGCCACCGACTGAGCTCGTTTTCAGATAGATTATTTCTCTTTTTCTAGTTTTACTTCAAAAAGTAAGCTCCATGTAGCACATATTTGAAATAGATTTGGCTAAGCAGTGTGAGGATGACTAAAGCTCAGGTGTTAAATATGACCTTTCAATTACACATGACATAGGTAAGAAACATCAAACCTTCGGTCTGCAATTTTTGTCTTTTTTTTTCACAATACTAACGGTGAAATACTGCTAAAATTGGGATTGCTTTATGATCCATAAACAGCAATTTACAATAGCATCCACTCTCACATGAAACAGTAATTTTTAGTCACAGTTGTAGCCATCCTTAAACTGGTGCATAATGTTCTGCAACTATGATGCCTCTACTGTTGGATATTTTTCCACTTGCCTGTCAAACACTTTTTCTACTTGCATGTAATCTTACAGGGTATTTTTGAATAAATTTATGTGTACAAACTCACTTCAAATAAGTTTTTATATGAAGTATTATATGCTTTTCTTTTATGTGGCTCTTAAATTACTGTGTGGATGAGGTTGTCTACATTTTTACTCGTTTTATTCTCGCAGAGTTCATAATGAAACACAATGCACTTTGACAGAGTAAATATATTACCTAGTTGCAGTATGTTTTTGTAGACTTAGTAAATGAGAATGTGAAAAATTAAACTGTGTATGTGTTTTCTTTTGCTCCTGCACAGGTCCTTGTCATCCAAACCCCTGCCACAACAGAGGAACTTGTGAGATCAGTGAGACTTACAGAGGCGATACGTTCATTGGTTACGTGTGCAAGTGTCCACAAGGCTTTAGTGGAGTTCACTGCCAGCGCAGTAAGTGTGTTCTATCTTTAACATCCAAACTCAATTTGGCTTGATCAATAATTGACTAAATAAAAGCAGCTTGTTTGTAGAGATTCAGATAACTTCTGCTTTCTCTGCAGCACTGGCGTACCAGAACATATATTGCAGTTTTTCTTTTGGATCAGATTTTGGAAGATACTCTCACTAATAGCAACTACATTGTCTAAAATCTGTTGTTGATTTATTTTACTGTGTTGAATCATTGTGCTCTGGATAACTTTGAGAGGCCAGTCTTAGCAAAACATGAGGTTGGTAGAAGAGAAAGGAAAGTTGAGCTCGCTTTTTTCTTTTTGTTCAGAATCAGTGAGTTGACTTTGTTGAAGTAGTGCTAATAAAAATATGTATGACTCAGAAAAAGATTATTACAAGTAGTTGAACATAAATTTGACTACTAGAAAGAAATGTTCTCATGTAAAAAATAACAAAAAAAAAGTGAAATTAACTGAGTTTGAAAGATACTCTCACTAATAGCAACTACATTGTCTAAAATCAGTCAGGCTCTCCAAGGGTTATGTGATCACACAGTTATTTTACGTCATGTTTTTCACAGTTTAATGTACACATTTGTGCTCAGTTTTTTTTTTCACTTCTTTTGTGTGTAGAAGACTCGGTGCGGTTGGTGTGACGTAGGCCATCGCTGCGGGATAAAAGCTGTTTGTCAGTCTGTTGTTGCTTTATTTTACTGTGTTGGATCATTTTCCAGATGGAAGCAGATGGTTCCCTCAGTACATAATGTCCACGATCATGCTGCTGCCCTTCTTTTCTGTAGTCTAATTGTTTACTGAGTGTGTTTAGGTTTGGTAGCTGTGGCTTGATGGAGTATTCGGTTACATTCACTAATCAATGGAGGTGATGGCAGCTGGAAAGCTTGACAAAAATGAATTCTTAAAATTATCCCCAACCCACTTTACTTGTAAACAAAACAGTGTCTCTGCTTGTATAGATTGATCATTTTCAGCTATTTAGGATGTGGAGCCTTTGTAATATTTTGAATTGCAAAATTTCATTTGTTGTTTGTTATTTGGTTGAATAATAATTGTGAAGTAAGACAAATATAACATGGGCTTCATTTTTTTTAATTTTTATTAGAAATACTTGATTCCAACTGTGTGTAATTTAACCTCACTATTCTCTAACTGAGATCAAGAAATGATAAGCAGAAGTTGTTTTTGAATTCCATTAACTCTCACAGCTTCAATTCTGTATTAAGGCTGCAAAACAAATTTAACAACAAATGAAAGATGTGTCAACTCCATCCACTGATCCATTATGTATACTGGCTTAATCCGACTCAGGGTCATGGGAAAAGGTTAATGCTAATCTCCTGCAGTCAGTGGGTGAGAGACAACATACACCCTGGAGGGGTCACCAATGAGTCAGTTAACAGGGCCAGCATATATGACAAACAAGGACAAACCATCTTTTACTCCCACATGCAGCGGAAGAACAAGCAAACTATACATATGAATGCAAATAGAACTTATGAAAGGAAGTAAATAAAGTCAACAAATATAATAACATGTAATCTACAATAATAAGGTATTGTATAATTTTGAAACTATGTATTTGACTGTGTTTATCTGCAATACAACCTGCCGTTTCATACATAGGCCAGGTTTTCTGGCTTCCCCATCTGCTTGTGTGCTTCGATGAGCATCACAGAAGTTTGAATAACACAGTTGTCTTTCCCTGCATGTGCACTTTTACAGTTTGCAGTGGGTTGAGGGTTTCATGATGCAAACCTTGTGCTCAGATGTGTTCTTATTTGTTTAATAGAATATGAGAAATAAGCACAGAGATAAAGGAATAAAGAGTTTCTCAAACCATCAGCTGTAATACTTAATGCAAAGTGAGAAGCAGCCTTTTACAGTAGTATTCTTAGTCAGTATGTATTTTCACATCATAGTTATCTTTTGCATTCAATTTCAGGTGACAAGACATAAAATAGGAGACACTGTACAAGCTGCATGTCATTGTCTTTATTTACACGTCAAACTGTGGGAAATTGGCTGGTGCATCATAATTCATTTATTGCTTCTTATTAAGCCTAAGGGCGGCGAAAAACTGATTTGATATGGGCTGAACACACATTAATGTGTGCCAATTTCCCTCATGCTCTTTACACTTAAATGAGAACTAGTGTGCCTGAATCCATTAATAACCAAATCTGTGTCAGGGTAATTCCTACCAATAAATTATCAGGGCATTAGGATTATTGTTTCTCCTGGAACAGTGGTTCTCTGTCCCTGTCCTCAGATCCATTGCCCTTCATGTTTTAGATGTGTCCTTGCTCCAGCTCACCTGATTTGAATTATTCCATTGCCTCTTCAGCATAGCATCAAGTGCTGCAGAAGCCTGTTAATCCCCTATTTGTTTAAATCAGTTGTGGGGCAGCCAGAGAACACCCCAAATATACATTGGGTCCAGCATCAAGAATCATGGTTCTTGTAGACAGGTGAACAGTCTCTGCATGGCCTGGTATTAGTAGACCATACATAATGAATGGATGAATGACTATTTTTGTTATTTAGTTTTAAGGTCATTGGTGCTGAACTTTTATTTAGGAGTATCTAAGTAAAAAAGGACTGAATACATACTGTATCATTTTGAAAAAAAAAAAAAAGAACTAAATTGATTCTTCCACTTCATAAATATGCACCCCTTTGAGTTGGTCCATTACATAAAAGCTCAATAAAATTGTGTTAATGCATTTGGTTGTAATGTGGCAGTAAGTTTGATAGGTATGCATGCATTTGAAGGGCACCTGTATACAGAGAAAGAAAAATCAGGCACTTGCAAGACAGAACAAAAATGATGGATTTTCAGTAATTCTACAGTCTGGAATATCTGGAATTGTGTGGAGTTTCAAACCTTTTTGATATAAATTATCATCAAAGTTACAATCATGCTTGTGAAAACCGGGGTTAACGGGTTAGTGTCACTGCTTGAGCCATGATTATCACCAAGTCATTTATCTTCCGAATAGTGTGGCGTCATGTCCCCGTGGTGACAAGAGAACAAGTGTGTTGTTATTGGGCGAGTAGCCAAACGCTATAATGAGCTGTCACAGTGTGAAGATTGGGACTGATTGCCTCAGACGTCATGAGGTTGCAGATCATTTTTCGGGGACGCGTTTTCAGTCTGTCAAGGGCGAATGCTTTGTAAGCTGCTGGAGAAGTAGTTTTTCCAGGCAAAGTTTTTTTTTTTTGCTGCCATTTTACCACAGAAACGGTTTGATGTTTTGATGGATATAAACAGGATTGATGTTATGTGGTTTGCCTGATTCCCCTTAGTTTCTTTGTGATCCCTGCTGTACATCACAGGATAAATTTTACACACATTTTTTTCAAAACATTTAGCTTAAAAGCAGAAAACAAAGTAGTCTGGTTAAATTTGCTCATGGAAGACAATTACTCAACTTCCTCCTCAATATGTCTCCAACCTTTCTTCTCCAGCAAGTTCTTTGAACAGATTCCATCTTGGCTGTCGATCAATGTGTCTTGAAACACCCCAGCAGAGCAAGATTGATTAAGGCTAAACGTAGGATGTGTGAAGTGCTTTCTTTTTTAAGCTTTGCCCCAGTATTTGATTGTGGATTGACAGTCAATATCATGCTGCCTGATTTGTCCTGTTGCTTGGACAGGGTTTTTTGTCAAATGAAAAATCAGCTCCAGTTTTACAGCTTTAACCTCATGAGAAAGCATTGAGAAATCATAACTGATATTCAGTCCACGTGGGGCAGACTATGGGCTGACTTTCATCAGGCTGGAAGAGAGAAAGTGACTCTATAAAGACTTGCTGTGTGCTTATTTTCTTGTGCCCTGTATAGCACTGCATCACTGAATGTCTTCAAAGAAGGAATCCAATGGTGACTCCATTTTCTTTTCTGGCAAATTTTATTCCCTCTTTTGCCCTCTAAGTCTCTCTGTGTAAACAGATTTTTAATAAAACAAGAATGCACAACCCCACAACCCAAGGCTGTACTGAAACCCAGGTGTTGGAACCTATGCATATTTTAATCCTTAAAGCTGCAGTAGGGAGTTTATATAGTTTTTATAGTTAGTACATAGTGACAGTTTTGACAAATATGTAAAATCTATTTATATATTTATAAAAGTTACCTACTACAGCTTTAAACATTTGACATTAGTAAAACACTGCTTTTAGAAACTCTTTCAGAAACACTTATTTCTTTTGCCTGCTCAGAAAGCGAAGGGATTTCCAGCACCAAAAACATTCACTTCTCAAACCTGCCACTGCATGACAAGAGGTGATGCTGCAAACTGACTGCATATATACGGTATTTTGTGATTGCAAAGGAAGGGAGAGAGACTTTGTTAGCAGGCAACAGGACGATGCAGTCTCAGAGGAAGGGGAGTATTTTTGGGTTTGCTGATTATACTTCCTCTCTCCATGATTGAGGTGGTTGGTGTTTTTCTCGCACTGTGAAGCAGCTCTGTTAACGTCAATCTAGCCAAGATCGTGATGAACCATAAAGTGCTTGTTCCTCTGCTGTTGCTTTTTAATGTTAATGGTACATCGCAGGTCTTTAAAAATCGAATGCAGGCCTGAAAAACCTTGTCAAAGAACTCAGATCTTGAGATTTTTAAAAATATTTCCACATTACAGCAACTTTCATATGATAAAAGGAAACAATGAAGATAAGTAGCCAAACAATTTCTATACAGAAGAAAACTGGAAAATGTGGCTACAAATTCGTAGACAGCCCTCCAAATTTGTAGAAACAACATGACTGCATTTACAGCTGTAACTAATCATTATTGAAATTCTTCTGAGCAAAATAGTTAACCTTTTTAAATGCAGTAAACAAACAATTGTCTAAATTACTTCTAAGGACACACACAAAAAAAAAAAAAATCAATAACAAAACAAAAACAAAGGAATCTATACCATACATTTTATGGAAACCTATAGAAATTATCCTTGAAATATATTTCTCAGATGAAAAT